GGGGGCGGGCGCGGGGGCGGGGGCGGGGTGGCGGAAGGAACGGCTTCGAATTTCCTCGCCTCTGCAGGATCGCCGCGTGAGGGACGATTTTTGATTTGTTGTTTTCCTCTCTGTAGAGGGCTTGGTTTGCTCGCAAGAATTTTTATCTCGGCTGGTCGTGTAGGTTCGATTGTTCTTTGTAGCGTAGGTGAGGCTTTGGTACTCGTGCCTGCTTCCGCACTCTCTCCTTGTTTTCTGTTTTGTGCAGGTGTGTAAGTTCATGTGTCGGGGGATTATTTCCTTGTCTTTGATGTTCTTCTCTCCTGTTACGTGGCGTGCTTGATCGAGTGCGAGGGTGCAGTGATCGTGGGAGGGGAAAGGCGGTCGGGACAAAAAACGGATTGGAACTGCGTCGATGTTGCTCCCACGATCGTTCGTATATTCCAGCCTCAGTGCCCGAGATGTCGAAATCCCCGTGTGTGAGGTGCATAATGACTGTCACCATGGTAGTCGTTTTGCCCTATCTCGTCGATCTGGTCCAGCGAGGTATCGTTAGCTTGCGTTTGCAGGAAAGCTCCTTTTTTTGTATGTATGGCCCGGTGACACGCTCTTGGCTTCGGAAAAACAATAACAAACGGCGAGTAGGCTGAACGGCGGAGGCCGAAGCTGATACGGCTTCCTTGTTTTACAGTTGGCGGTTGGCAAGACTTTTGGTGAAGGAGAGCGGGGGACCGTGCTTGCTTGCTTGCTTGCTTGGCTCGCGCCTGTTTTGAAGTTGTTTGAAGATGACGAGTTTTAACAAGCGCGTGAGAGTGGAAGGCGGACCCCAACAGCAGCGACATGGCGCCTTTTCGCCCCCCCGTAGAGCTAGATGATACCCGCCCTCACGAGCAGATCCATGTCGGCAAGGGGGGCAGATCGATGCCGCTGAGCTTCCTGAAGGTGTGTGGACTATCGCCTTTTTCTGGTGGTATTTTGTCTCCGCGCTTCTTCCCTGCTGGTTAATTTTGTTTTGTCCACGGTCGGGGGATGGGAGGGGGTGCAAACGTCGAGGCAAGGACTGGTGCTCGTGTGTCCGGTTTCGTTTTGTCGTCGTTCGACCATCTTGGGGTAAAGGGACCGCTGCTGTGAGGAGACGGCAGTGAGCTGGCCAGGTCGGCCGGCCGCTCCAGAGGTGGTGCGTTGCTACGGACGGAGGCGTTTGTCCAGTCGATACGGAACGGCCGTGGTGCTGTTGTTCCCGTCCTGAGCGACCGGGGGATGATGAGGTGCGCACACGAGGGCAGGGAGATGGGTTTGTAGTACCAGTGGCTTGTACCGCGTAGTTTTGGGTGTAGGAGTGTAGAGCATATGTGTTGGGGTGGGTAGGCGATAGCTCCAGCGGCGGCAGCGGCAGAAGGAGCCTTGCTCCTTTCACGAACGAAATTGGTGCGTAGCTGGTGGGTGGAACGAGTACCGCAGCACACTTTCCCCCCTCGTTCTGGTGTTTTTTTCCTCGGGTTTTGTGGTGCGAACAACGAGCATCGCCAGGCGGGGAAGCTTTTTTCACACCCCGGCTACTCCCGCGGAAATTTCTGATCTGTAGAATGAAAGCGAAGCGCTCGCCGACAAGACAAGACTGCTTGATGTCGCCGCTGGACATGTTTTCGAACTGCCGCATAGCTATACATGCACGGGGTAGGCTATTTTAGAGAACCAAAAGTGCCGATAAAAAGGCTTCCTTTTGTACTTTTGGTGGGCTTCCGTTGCCCACGTTGCTGATTTTCGACTGCTGTTTCTTGCAGCGTAGTGGACAGATAGGCGCGGTCGAGCCTCGTGATTAGGGTAAGAGGCGGGGCGAAGGAGTGAAAAAGTATCCTGAAAAGATTTGCTCGTTTTCCCACCGGTGATTTTCTTTTTTCGGGGAACCAGGTACAAACACGGGTAACTCGTATTTCTTGGGAACCCGTACCGTCATGTCTAGGTTGGGGATGTCGGTTCGGAGATTGTAAGTAAAGGCCTACGCCGGACAAGTATCGTACTGACGTGTGCACGCGCACGCGTGTGTGTTCGCTTGTATGGTTTCTGATTGATCGGTGGTTGGCGCATGGTGTATATGCGTGAGTGGTAGGGTTCAAGTGTCAGAAGAGTTGCCTCCGCCCCATGTCCGTCCATGTTTTTCCCAAACAAGAAGACAGACGGCAAACATAGAGAATACGCGTATTATAAGGTAGTCTAGACGCTTGTAGGAGGATCATGACCGCCAGATTCGTGAGAAAGATCCTGCATAAACCTTGACGTGAAGCAAATACCGTGCATGATGGCACTTATATGTCTCGTTGTCGAGTGTTCTGCGCGAGATAAATCTTTGATATTCTCTAAATGAGACAACCACAGCACGCCGCATGGCAGCTGCGAGGTTTTTCCTCTGGGTGTTTTTGGGACAACTTCCAAGCAGTTTGTTGTGCTCTGCTGTGTTGTTCCCGCCTCCACTATCGAAGAGGTTGCTAATACTGCAGTAGTTCTCGTGGAGATGCCCGCCGAGAGCATCTACAGCGAGTGGTACATGGGAGCAGAGTCGACAGATAAGAGAGGAGGAGGAACAACAGGGATGCATGCGCGCGTTGCAGTCCTGCACAACAAACTTGTTATCTCGAACGGGTGGTCTTTCTGTGAGATTACGTTTACTTTCTAAAGATTCACAAGTTATGTACTGTGGGCGTGTGCATACTGCAAAGACTCCAACATATCCCGTTCGACTGTGTTTATATCTCGAATGGGTACAAGTCTCTCTGTGTTTGAAGTTTTTATTTTTCCCACGTACCAAGTACCAGTATTAGTTTCTTTTTCCCAACACTACAGCTGGTGACCTGGCGTACAAAACATACAGCAATACATTCGGAATTTTTGCATGTGTTCCCTGAAAAGGGTTGGTACAAAGGAGGGCTACAAAAGGAACTGCTCATAACAGAACGCAAGAGGGGCAGAGAGGAATGCTTGATGCTCTTCTGCATCCAACCATCGTCCGTCGTCCGTCGGGATTCGGGCGCGGAGCAATACGTGACGTTTGCAAAAAAGTTCCGCCGCGTCCCACGGCCCCCCACCCTTCCCACCTTCGCGAGAGGCAACGAATTTGACATATATATCCTCTTCGCCGGTGGGCATGCGTTGCATCGTTGCCGTGGCGCAGTTGAGCACTCGGCATCGCCGCTGTGATTATGGTTGCGCTGCGCTGGGAGCGCCGACATCCCAGGATCCCTGCGAAGCTCAGGATAGCAGCAGAGGATGCGGTCACAAAGCCGCCCGAGGTAACCATACCATCCTCAACAATTAGTTGACCTGGGCTCGTATGTCATGAAGGCTCTTCAAGCAGAAGGGGATCACGTGGTGGATGAGCAACTTGTCTTGTCGAATAAAATATGGCGGCTGTCATGTGGCTATTAATAGATGACACAAAATACTATGCTGGATATACTTTGAAGATTTTCTTTCCACCGTTCGTCTAGTCTATCCTGCAGCCCCCAGTCTAGTCTACACATTTCACATTACATTTCAGTGCATGTGTGACGCACCAGCCGGGGTCACACATCAGGTGTTCTCAACATTTCCTCCTGTAGAGGGCCTTCCTTATTGTTTGCCCGAGAATGGTTCGTGTTCGGTGGTATTCTTCGTGCATACACGTAGCAGCTGCTGCTCGTGCCTAATCGAAACTCGTCTATAGTCTATCTAGCAAGCTGTAGTCTCGGCAGACTGGAGGTAAACATAGCAACGCATGGAGGCGGTGCTCCTTCGATGATGACAAGGTGGTGCCCGATCTACTCTTCTACTTTCCGTCCAGCAGCGGCACCGCACGAGTTGAACCATCGCGATTATTAGTAGCTATATGCATACCTACTCAGATAAACAAAGGCCGCTCATACAAAACTAAAAAACGGGTTGAGAATGATACCTCACCTACACCCGTCTTCGTGCAAACGAACCGATGCAACGGGTGCTCAGGCTCCCCCTGTCAAAAAGGCCACCAAATGATGTGTTCGATTCGAAGCGACCCTGCTTCTTGTACGCAAGTGAACAATGAGTCTCACATGCTCCCATCCCCCATACATCCTGCACCTTTCTCTTGTTGTTGTGTTTTCTTCGTGTCTTCGCACGTTCATGCTATGCGTGCAACAACATGACGTACACAGATCAAGTCCACCGTGGTGAGGAGCGCCTTCGCGGCCATCAGCTCAAGATTCCCGGTGAGGCAATTCTGTATAGTAGGTATCAGCCACGAAAAGGCTGAGTGCGGGAAAATGTCCCCTTACTTCATGAATGCTGAATTGACCTTCTTATCTTTTAGCCTCCTCAGCTGAACGCGGGGATTTTTTCTGGCTCACCCCACGAAAAACGGAGCTTTCCGTCGAGCCGCTTCTCCCGAGGCTATCCGTCGCTCTTTCCATCCATCAGCACAAACTTCTTCCCAGGTCATCATCATATCCTCCACCCCAACCTCTTGCTCATCACCCTTTGTGCTCCCTCCTTCCCTCCCTCCCCCCCTTCCTCTCCCATTTCTACCAAACCAACTGATCAACGACGACGGCGGGTGGGTGCTACACCACACCTACCTGCCGTCGAACGAAAAATAGTCGGAGGTTTCGTTGCAGGACCTCCAGGTCTTCGTCGGAGCGCACGGTCTCGGCATCTCGCAGGCAACCCTGCGTGAGATGGTGGGGAGGGCCAGATCAAAGCGAAGCAACTGGCGAGCGCGAGGAAAAGATTTACCGCTAAGGGTGAGAAACTGCAAACACAACAAGTCGGTGCCCGCCCCAGAAGGATGCGATCTTTGCAGAACAGTATATTTCAGCCATGGTCGAGGGTTGTTCTCCGTCGCCCGGCCTCATTTTGACGCAACGTCCCTGCAGACATCCCGTGCCAGCCTCCGAGCCGGGAGAGGGTAAATACAAGCGCCGCGGAAAAGCTCTCGCATTCACGCACATGGGGGAACACGGTTTGCACTTACACGAGGCACAACATTTTGTCACGTCTTCGCCGTATTGTAAAACGACACTAAAGCCTAAAGCTTTTTTCAGACTTGACCGGGCTTGTACGTGCATGACCGCCGCCACCCGCTTCGCCTGCTGAACCACGGGGACAGGTGATGAGAGACACGCTGTGGGTCGAGGACGTCATGTGGGCTCTGCGAGTGAGGAAGACCAGGCGAGAGTTCGACAAGTGGGAGATTAACGAGTATCGTGACGAGGTGAATATCGTACCTTTCCTCCCTCCCCTCGTCTGCTCATCATCTGCTACCGCTACCTTTCGACCCCGAACATGTCTCCTCATTAACTTTTCATTAGAGGGTTTCTGTTAGCGGACAGGTATGCCCGGAAGCTGCATGATAGATCGCATGGTGCCTGTTAATCCCTGGGCAGTTAAGCTAACATGGTTCGGTGCGGCTTATTGCGAGCAATCGGCCTAAAACACGGCACACAACCTTCTTGTTGGCACTCTGTGCGGTCTCCTTATGTTGGGCTATAATCTTCCTGCTCACAGTATAATAACTGGATTTTGTTTTGCTATATGCTGCACTGGGATCGTTATTCACAATAACCGATGTCTTTTCATTGGTCAGCCGGTCAGTGCGGCCGACGCCAACCCAAACACTTGACGCCTCGAACTTCATGTATCTCCCTTGAAAAAAGGTTCACAGAGACCCCCCCCCTCCTCGCGCGCTCGCTCTGCTTCAAAAACAGTGGGTGTCCATTCTGGAGGCGGCAACACCGAACAACCATACCGTCTTCGCCCCCCCGCCCGACCACCGTATCGCACCGCCGCTGAGTTTTACCGAACTACTTCAACAAGATTCCTCCTCCCTGCCTTCAGTGCTTTCGGCCAACCCTGGAGGCAGCAGCGCCTCTGTGTCGAACGGTGGCGGTGGCGGCACCGGGTCCCACTTGACGTCGCAATCGCGCGGGGGCAGGAACGATCGGAGCGGCAGCACCGGCACCGGCAACAGCAGCGAACGGCGAATCGGTGGGGCAGGGGGGGGACGCGAAGGAATGGAAGGAAGACGAGGACGAGGTGGCGCCGCCGCCGCCGCCGGGGGGGGGTCAATGGGATCTGTGACCAGGTGTGTTTACGAAGGGCACAAGGGAGCAAGAACCCTTGTGTTCCGCAAGTGGTTTCTGCCCTTTGCTTTGTGCTTCAGCGAGACACGTACGTGCTACACGATTTCTGTGCAGCATTGCAAGAGTGTGCGTTATTTTTTCCATTTCTTTTGTGTGTCCGCTTGTTCTTTCCGCTGTTGGTGGCATACAGTTCACGCGCGCGCCGGAACAACGCTGCATCAAGTCCACCAGAAACTCTCGCGCATACCCGCGCCCCGGGTCCGAATCTTCCATATATATACCTCCCCTCCCGCCTTTCCTCCCTCCTGCCGTCAATGCTGCTGTACCGACGGCGTTGTATCGAGTAGACCGGTCTCTACGGGGAAAATGTGGACACCCCTAGAGTCCCGACTACCCACGTCGCTGCTGCTCACATCGAGACCGGGATCGGCGGCGGCAGCGGTAGGGGGAACCGGGGCGGGGGCGGGTGGTGACCTAGCTACAACGACGGGGGGGACACCCACGGTGGTAACGGGCGGAAACGAGTGGGGGGGCGAAGGGGGAGCCGAGGACCCTACCGTGTGGAACTTCTCGAGCTGGACCAACGGAGGGGGGAGCGGCGGGGCGAACGGCCACGGCTCCTGCGAGGAGGGTCACGTCGTGACTGCTCAAGAGCGAGCACTTTTTGGGAGAAAACCGTCGCCGGCTACGGTCGCCCGCTCCACCTCCTACGCGCCCAGGTTGAGACGGGAGAAAGTGTGGGGGGGGGGCAGTTTGTTTCGGTTTGGCGAATGGAATGCACTATTGACAGGAAGCGGGCCGAATGCGAGGGGGGTAGAGCAAAAGGATGGACGAAATGCCGACCTGTTTCACCCGGACCGCTTGCGCAGCTCAGTTTATCCAGAGACGTGGGGATTGGACAATTGGGAAAAGTCCCTGGAGGGTCCCTTAACGCCATAGGTCCCCTTTCCAACCAAACTATGCCCTCGAAGATGATTGTAGTCCCGATAAGCATGAGACAGTTTTTTCAACCACATTCTCCTCTCCCCCCCCCTCCTCCCTTCAAAAGAACGCCTTCCCAACATCGGTAGGCACGAAACGTTCTAGGAAAGAGATGATAAGAGTCGGCGGTGGGGCGAAGGAAGCCAACGCCCTAACCGGACGGTGAACCCGCCCGAACACCTGTTGTGTGTTCTTTTCCCCCCGATAACAACAACGGCACGATGGCAGGAGACGCCCCCCCTGCAGCACCGACGGACGACGCCACAGGCCGGAGGTCGGGAGCGGTGACGACACGGCCGAGCTCTACGAGATGGAGAGGGACATAAACACCTCGTCGTTCGCCCTCGCGGACGCGACAGGTGTGTGCGTAGTGTAGGTGTGGGTGTGTGTTTCTTTTTAGCATCGGCCGCGCTAACCGGCTGACCAATGAAAAGGTGAATGCGTGCGTCTTAGTTATTGCCAGGAGTGTGTGTATGTCTGTCTCTCGCTTCAGTAAGTGTAGACCGCGCTAACCGTCTGACCAATGAAAAACACAGCTTCAGCAGGATAATATAAGCTCGACCACGCTTGCTGATGAACTGATGAAAGGTTAAGGGTTGTACCGACGGGGGGGGGCGCAGGAGTTGAACGACAGTGTCCTGCTTCCGGAGCACAAGGAGAAGAAATCACAACCATGAAACAAACGTGGTGTGTGTGTGTACCCGCGCCCGGGTGCGGGGTTGAATTACGCAGCAGGATAGTGTTGCGACGTGTCCGCCTCACGTGCATCGTCCACCCCCGTTCGTTAGAACTATCGTACTGATTTTTCTCGCGAAAGATTTGGTTCGTTTGGAACCACAAGACGTCCTTAATACTGTGCTCGATGCATTAGAAAGTACAACATAACCATTGTGGGTTCTTGGGGGGTTAGGGACAACGGTTGCCCGCTAATAGCACTAGGTACGACGCCCTTCGAATCCATCGCAGTGGTGAAGGAATTATCTACGCCCTTCGAAAAAAATCATTAAATGATTTTGAAAACATGGTGAAGGAAACGCCGCATGGCAAACGCCATGCTTCTTTCCTACTACACACAGGGGACGCAAGCTGGAGACGGGCGCGTTTAGTCGTCTATTACGTCCCCTCTCTTATCTACGTACCGCTTATCCACAACACCGATGCGCAACGGTTGTGCTCGATCGTTATCCACGCTTGTTGGTGATCTTTCAACTGCTGTCCGTGAGTGCCCCGGCAAACCCTTCTACACAAAGGTGATTTGGGAGCTATATCATATACGCGAAACCCTGCAAATAGATTTATTTGCAGACTTGTCGCATTTCCGAGCTCATCAGGTATGAACCTGCTCCAGTGTTGATAATATCATGCCGTGCGCTCTTTTTCCTGTACACGCACAAACAGACCTCTCCATCACGGCGGCCTCTCACAAGCGCGGGCGCGGGGACGGGCGGAGCGCGGTAAGGGCATGGGGCTCGGTTGCTACTTCAGCCCTGACGTTCGACGACGCCGCCGGTCTTTCCCACGCGAACGGTGCGGTGGCAGCGGCAGCAACAGCAGCAGCATCAGCAGCAGGGGCAAGAGGAGGAGGAAGAGGAGGAGGAGAAGACCATGCGGAAGAAGCGTCACCCATGGAGGCGCAAGAAGAAGCGGGCAAAACCCTGGAGAAGTCCGACGCTCCGAAGAGCAATCTCTGTGGTAGTGATGGTTCCGGCGATACAACTTGCCACGGCGGAGGGGACACCGCAGAATCGAACGGCGGTGAAGACCCGGAAACCCTGCCGCTTGCTGCGAACGCGGGTGGGACCCAGCCCCCCGTGTCGACCACCGCTGCCCGTCCTCCGAGCCGGGACGGGGACCACCTTGAGGTTCTCCCGCCTCACTCTTGGACAGCACCCCCACCCTCGAGCAACGGCCGACATATCAGTCACACCAGGACCTCAGCCGCCGCCGCCGCCGCCGCCGCCGCCGCCGCCACCACCACCCCTGGTTCAGCTGAAGCCTCCGCCGATTCTGCGACCGAAACTTCGGACCGGATCGACGCAAGCGCGTCGGGCGGAGGACGGTTGCGGAGAGCCTCTGGGACGGTGACGGCGGGAGCGACAGCTGCAGCCGGCGTCAAGAGGATTGGGGTTCCAACGTTTGAGCTTTCGTGTCCTGAGGACAACGATGATCAGGACGACACGGGAGGGGGTAGACAGGGAGAACGAGAGGGAGAAGGACATGGAAGAAACGGGGGCGGGGAGGGGGGGGCGGGGAGCGCTGCGGAGTGGTGGTGCGAGGCTCTAGGCCCGACGTCGCGGCGACCAGTAACACGGCGTTCCTTGGACCACAGCGGCGGGGTCGCCGGCCGCGGAGCGCCACAAGGCACCGGCGGCACCTGGGGGCCGTGGGAAGAGGACCCAGGAGGGGGGTGCGGGCAACACGAGCGCAGCGGTTGTGGATGGACTTCCGACGGGACGGTGCAGGGCGGTGAGGGATACAGAGGCGGACGGAGAAGGGCGAGTGCGGCCGCCCCGAACTGCGGGTTTTCGACGGAGTCGAAGCAGCGGAATCTGGAGGATTTTCTGAAGCGTAGGTGCGATGCAAGACTTGAGAGTCGAGAGGGGAGATCGTGAACCCGGGTACGGGGGGGGGCGGGGGGATCCGGAGCACGTCGCGGTAACTTGTTACCGGACGCGATGGCGCAGCACGTGGTACACTCTAATATTGCGGTTGATTTCTACGGGGACGACAATGAACTGACGTCTGCTCTCAGTGGGAATTGTTTCGTTTTATGGGAAAGCGACGAAACGGCCCGTGCTCTTCGTGCTACGATAGCTGGAGCTCACTCGGGAACTCGACACACTTCGTGCCACGAAGCATGTATGTAGCGTTAACACCGCGTGGTGGATCCGATCCCTTCCGTCTTGTTGTCGTCGCACGGTACACGAACAACCCTCCGAGCAGCAGAATCCCGATCTCCTCGCCCGCTCACTTCCGTACCACCAAATCAATGCTGGTGTTGTTGCGCGTCACGCGGTTGTTCATAACGTCTGAAGATCGTCCATGGACAAGTCGGAAGGCCTGGCCTCTGAGCGGGTGCGAGTGTGGGAGGCGGGCCTGGCGCGCGCCCAGAGCGGCACGCGTTTCCGGCACCAAATCGGCAGGGGCACGATCAGAGAAAACTACGACCAAAGCCTCAGGGACAAGGTGAGGCGAGAGACGAAACCGTTGCAACCCCGGTTGTTGTTTGGGGGGCGGTTAGTTTATCTACCCATTGGGGATCCGTTGGACGACTGGCCACCTGTTTGGACGTGGGTCCACACGAGGGCGCGCCTGCCATCAACGTAGTTCGTCTACTGACTGATCGAGTCCTTCGAACCGGTCTTTCGAAACGGAAAGCGTGTGTTTTCCTGGACAAATGTTGGGAAACGTTTTTGTGCAGATTGGCTAAAAAATGAGGGCGTTTCAGTCCCGAAAGTGTTGCCTGAGTAATCCGGGCCGAACGTGCGTCCTATCCCCTTTACCGTATCTCATGCGTGCATGTAAGAGTATGCTACTTCAGTACTTGGCTTCAAGATCCCCGCCCCTCTGATCCCACTCTCGCACCCCCCCTTGAATGTCGTTGCCCGTGTGCGCGCTGAAACACAATATATTCACAACTGGACGACGGTGGTTGCGCTCGTGTGGGAGCAAAGGCTTGCGAGACGCTTGCCCTCGACCTCAGAGGGTACGGAACCCATCTCCTCGCGCCGGAGACGGCAACGACGATACCCACCGCCGGCGGCGGCGCTTCGGAACGATGCGCAAGCGCCAGCGGCGCCGGTGTCGCGGCAACGGGGACACCGACAAGGGCGATGAAGAGGGCGTGGTCGTCGACCAGAATAGGAGGAGGCAACGCGGGCGGTGGTGGTGGTAGGAGTAGCGGCGGGGTTAGGTTGTTGTTGCCGTCGCCGACGGGTGCGGGGGCGGATTGTTCAAAGCCCCCTCCGTTTGGCCCCGTTCGCGGCACCACCGTCCAAGAGGCGCGCATCACCGCGGTCACGCATCAGGTTTGACGAGGAAGAATGCGTTGGTGTGTTGTTGCGGTTGGTTGTTTTGCGGGTGCAAGACAATCCACGATCGCAGGCGATGCGCTCGACACCTAAAGACCGAAACGCATTTCTCCCTTATTTGGGATATATAAGCGATTGGTGCATATGGCAAGCGCCCTCCACCCAACTAGTACCCGCCTCCATTAGAATGTAGTGTTACCTACGGCGACAAACGTTTCGCCAACAGGTTTGTTTATTTGCATCTGCCACTGCATGTAACGCGCGTACGTTTTTATTTCCGTTCCCCCCCCGGCAGGCGGGTATGTGGGGCAAATGCTCGCAAGGACACTTCGGTCGCTTTGAGGAGAAGCCCTACGTTCACTCCTTCAGGTATCAAGTAAAACACACGAGATGCTCTTTCAGTTGCACTACATAGCAGTAGCAGACTGGAGCACACCACCCCTAACTGTCTTGGTACTTTGGTTTGTGGTAACTCACCCGACCTTCCACCCCCGATCCGACCCCCCGCCTTCCTCACTCTTCCGTTCGAATGCGACCGCGACCACTATTGTTTCCCGTAAATCTGAGCAGACCACACACAAGCCACGGTCTGCGCGGATTTGGATCATCTGGCCAAACGTCGGCCAACACCGGTAGGGCATCGACTGCCCCACGGTACATAGAAAATTAGAATGTCGGGGGTAGGGTCCATTAATTAACGGTATGCCGTCAAGAGCGGCGGAAATCCCGAGCGCCACTGCGTCCGACGACACACTAGGATTGTACGAAGAAGGGGATAGGGCGCCTGCATCATTTTGTAGCATAGACGATATGTAGTAGCCCTTGAACAGAGAACTTTGTACGGGGTACAGACAGTATGTATGTGCAGATGCAGACATTAATATTGTGCAACACGCATTCGATCGTCAGCAATCCTGCACACACGGCCTTAAGTCTACAGTATTAGATCGATACCTGCATCGGGAACGGTTACATCCAACCGGCGTTTATTCGCAACAATACAGTCAACACCTCGGAGGTTTCCTCTACGACACGAAGAGAAGTCCGCGGGAGGAGAGGTGGGGGGTGGTTTCGCGCCACGAGGCTGCACTCTTGGCAGAATGATCGTCTAGAAACGCCAATCCTTGATGTCATTTCCGACGTGTGTGTGTAGAAATGCCAACCCATGACGGCGTTTCTGAGGTTTCCATGCGAGCGCCAGGCGTAATTGACCGGCCATCCTGAGTTCTGTGGACCGAGTCGGTGGCTTCGACCCGGTTGGGAGGTCAGCGTGGAGTAACGCACCACACAGCAGCTATATTTTCAGTCTTTCCATCGGGGGTTGTTTTCCCGGTGCAGAAGACGAATTGGTGTACTGTCGGCGGGATATTTCTTCTGTGGACTGCACAATCCACGAAGGCACATACATACGCATCCGGGTCTTGTCGTTTAGAAACTCGCTAGAGTTTTTGCGGTTTGTCCGCCGGTGGACCCGGTGAACGAGCAAGCTCGTACCATTCCTGGATTTCTCGACGTCATGTACATCGTGGCAGACACCTTGTTCTGGGGGGAAATGCTAACGTAGTCTGTTGCTGTGATGGAGGAACGAACTTTGGGTTTTTCGTCAGCGACAGAGATGCATGTTCTTGGGATAACGTACGACCACACGGAACTAAATGTTAAAAACGCGAAGAGCACGGTCGAGAAGCTGCTGAGACGAGGTCAGAGCCAGTTTCTAACCGGAAAACAACAACAGCACAACTTCACTGCGCCCCGCAATACTGCTGTATAAACCCAGTGCTGGTGGTTGTGTATGACCCATTTCCTCTAAAAGACCGATCGATACGGTCTCTAGAGGTCTCACAGAACGGTAAAAAAATATTTGAGTGAATGAATGAATGAATGGTCACTTTCAGTCCGAAGGCCTGAACCGCGCACTTTTTTGAACCGAACGCCCGAGATGCGAGAAATCACCCCATCGGCCGTCCTGCACTACTTTGGAAGCCCTCCGCAAGTTTCAGCTTGATTGGCGCCTTCTGCGTTGACGGTTGACTGTGTCGGTGACCGGCACTCTCAAGCATGAAACACGAGCATGCAGCAGGTGCTGCGGACACCAAATTGCTCTGATCTCGACCGATTTGTGCCTAACGTTGCCTATCCTCCACCAAATTGAAGCCTGGTCCAATCTACAGCTGGATTGACAAGTCCTTCGACGCTGGATAGCTGTGTGTGCCTACCAATTTTGCCTGAGAGGTCCGAGCCACACCCCTGCATCCTCCCGACGAGGAAGTAATATGTTCCCCGCAAAACGACGGTTTCAAATTATTTTCAGCGTGCGCGCAAAATATTGCGGAACAAATACATGACCAATCCGTTGTAAGTTGTCCTGATCTCGACACGTGTGCCCCGCGATAGACTATTCGCCGCGTTTCGAGGGAAACATTATTTGTTCTTGTACAAACGCGCGCGAATAGAGGGGGGATAGAAGCACCACTACAACACCACAACACCAAAAACGGAACCGTATCCGATATCCACCTCCCGCAGGACACGCGTCCAAGCCAAATTGGCATGTGCTTGTAACGGTCTACGTCGACAGCATGAACGAAGTTCGGCATGATCCGACGACGACGGGTAAATGTTCATCCGCGTTCATCCGCGATCCTTGTAACGGGAAATATATTCGATACATCAATGGGGACGCACACCAGCCATGCACCCACACCTTTTTTTCACCGACGGAACCACCCAACCAAGAGCGACCTAGGCCCACACAACTTAGCACCTACCCACGTCAACACCAACCTAGCACCTATCCAAGCCATACCAACCTACAGTAGGTCGATCGTATAAACACCAACCAATAGCACCTATCCATGCAATACCGACCTAGAGATTATCCCATCAATTGTACCAACAACCTAGCGCCAAATGCCGGCGCACCAACCTAGAACTGATGAGCCACCCAGCGCCAACCTAGCCCAAATGCCGGCACACCAACCTAGAACTGTGAGCCACGCAGCGCTAACCTAGCCCTAATGCAGGCACAACAACCTAGAACTGAGCCACCCAATCTCAACCTAGCACCCATTGGGTCGGTTTGGGGTTTGGGGTTAGGGTTAGCGTTAGGGATTTAGCCGGGTTCATGTAGTCGCTGCTTGGAGGGACGGAAAACTGCGCCTGCCTGCCTGTAGTAGAGCGACAGGTTGAAGAAACAAGAAAACGCATGCATGATCGTGACGCTCGTTCCTCAGACAAGATTTCCGTCGGTAAAGAAGGTGTGGGTGGTGCATGGCTTGTACAAACAATTGTATGCGTCCCTGTGGGTGCATATAATTTTTCGGTTGTAACGGTCCTAGTCTGTAGTCTAAATATGTCGCAGCATGAACGAAGTTCGGCATGATCCGACGACGACGGGTAAATGTTCACCCGCGTTCATCCGCGATCCGGGACGATCTTTCATTCCACCGTGCACCACCATGGTATCCACCTCACGGCAAGGAAGGCCAAACTAAAAAATCACGTGCGTGTGTGGGTGTGTGGTGTAGTGTGGTCAGTTAGCCAGCAAGTGTGCTCTGAAGACATGCCAGTGTGGTGGCGGCCTCGAACAACATGCCTTCAGCAACAACAGAAGAAGTGGAGGGGTGGACGGATCCACGGATCGATTCGACGGGTAGTAAACGTTTCATTCTACAGCAGACCAGCGGACTGTGGCGCAGGCGGACATGCATGAGATGTTATTAGCGTACCAAGGAATGTATCGCACAACGGGAGACCGTTTGGCCGTGCTGATGCTGATGCTCGGGCACACCACTGCAGCCTGGCTGGGTGATTGCTGCAGGCCATTGTACGTTGTAACATCGAACACACCATTCATTGGCACGGCGCGACCGTTGGCACGGCAGTCAACGTGCCATGTTCGTGCACGGTGGAATGAAAGATCGCCTGGATCGCGGATGAACGCGGAGGAACATTTACCCGTCGTCGCGGATCATCATCGTGGATCGTGCCGAACTTCTTTCATGCTGTCGACATGGGCTACTGCTTGGGACCGTGAACTATTACAGCACGGCCATGTCTTCAACGTACACCCACTGGCCAATTGGTCAACAACGTATGTAGTATTTGTGCATGGACACGTGTCGTACGGCGAGGCGAGAGGGGATAGTCTATAGGATATGGCAAATGTGGCGGTTCCGGATTTTCCGGTTTTGGTGGTGTGCGGTGGTGTGGTGGGGGGTGGGGGGGTTGGTTGCATACCCCACCCCAGGTGTTTGTCATGCTGAGTCTG